GCTCCCGGCTTGCAGCCTGGTCTCCGTGGTTTGCGAAGGAAACCTGTCAGCAGGGATTCCATGTTGTTTTATTTTAAAATATGTTTTTATTGATTTCAGAGAGGAGGGGAGTGGGAGAGAGAGAGAAACATCAGTGATGGGAGAGCATCGTCGATTGGCTGCCTCTTCCTCCCCCCACCCTGCCCCCACACTGGGGACTGAGCCTGCAATCCGGGCCTGTGCTCTGACCAGGCATCGAACCGTGACCTCCCGGTTCATCGGTCAGCGCTCAACCCCTGAGCCACGCCGGGCGGGCGGCAGGTGTCCGTGTTCCGTGGTGACGCTCACTTCGCCTCCGTGTGGGCTGTGCTTCACTCGTAGTTGTCCAAGAAGGACCACGGGGAGTACAAGGCGACCTTGAAGGACGACAGAGGTCAGGATGTGTCCACGCTTGAGATAGCCGGCAAAGGTACAGCAAGCCCTCCGTCCCGCCGAGGGGAAATCCGTTACCGACGGCGAGGCGTGCCGGGCCCTTCGCCCGCGCCCCGGGCTGTCGCACCCACTGCTCTTAGCAGCGGCCATGAGAGAAAACAGGCTGTCCTTCCGCTGCGCGTGGGCTGGTGCCGTGGTTGGAATGATGCGTGGCAGGCCTGGGGGTTTCTGAAATGGCACCGTGGTCCCCCCTCAGACAGCGGGTCTCACCCCAGGTCTGACGGGGCCCCAGGAGGGAATCTGCGAGGAGGCGACCCCGCCACCCGGCTGGGTGCAGGGGGAGCGAGTTCTGCTCCTCGTTCACGAAGGGGAGCGGGTGGGGGAGTTACTCCACACCAGCCTTACGGACACGTAGCGCCTCTTCGTGTGTCACTTTTCAAACGCGCGTGACGATGTCCCGTGTCGATCTAATGTGGCGTGAGGAGGCCGCGCTGGCAGGATTGGTGTAGTAACCGTGCGTCTGCTCTCTCCATCAGTGTACGAGGACATGATCCTGGCGATGAGCAGAGTCTGTGGTGAGTCAGTGCCCGCTCGTGCTGGGGTCGTTTTGGGTGGGAGTGTCACTGTCCCCGGGGGGCGGGGGTGAGGGGGACCCAGGCGCCCGCCCTGCAGGGACCCCGTGAAATGGCAGAGCAGCCGCCTGACGGGCTCCCGAGGGCGTCCGAGGGCTCCTCCTCGTTATGTTTAGAGGTTGTTTGGTGAGTTTGTTTTGTGAGCCCTGCTCGCACCCCACACGCCGCGTGAGTGTGAAGTGCCACCCGGTCTCTGCGCTTTCCGCGTGAGCTGAGACGGAGAAGGGGGACCAGGCCATAAGCAGGAGGCGCCCCCTTAGCTAGAGCTGGCAAGTCAGATGGGGGCGCCCACTGGTTTAATTATTATTATTTTCTTCTGTTTTTATCAAATGGGTTGGGGAGATATTGATTAGTATCTCATGCAGATTTCTGGTGTGGGTTCTGGAATAGGATCTATTACACCCGGTGTCCCCACCCGAGTGGGCCATTGACTCTGCAGAGTCTTAGGAGAGACCACGAGTGCCCGGTGACAGGTCATGTCCCTGGGGACGGGGCAGTGTGCTCTCCGTCCCCCAGTTAATTCCCGGCCAGTCGAGGGGCACCTGACTGCCTGGGCCCCTCGGACTCTCGCGGTCCCTGCCACTCACGTGGGATTCTCATCACCCACAGGCGTTCCCGACATTGTCACCCACCCCATCCTTAACATGGGCAGCTTCTCCCTATACAGGGTTCTTCAAGGTGCACCGCTCCCCGGGGTGCCAGACTCCGCGAGCGCCTTGGTGCTGAGTGTGGATGGGACTCGAGAGTGTCTGACCCGAGAGCGCAGAAGCCGCTGGCGAAGCGGGGGCCTCGGGCCAGAAGGGAGAGTGGACTTCCTCCCGGGGGTGGCACGGGCGAATGGTCCGGCTGCTAAAATGTTGGTTAGAAAAAGTATAAGTGCCCCCATGCCCTCAGGACGAAGGCCTCATAACGGTGCCTTTGACGTAAAACCAGAGGAAGGACAGGGCCTCCCGGCCACGCGCGGGGGCGGCAGCGTCTGGGGCTCAGGCCCCCGTGTCTGTCCCGTTGGGGATGTCCTACTGTCTTGGGTTCTGGATCAGTGAACACAGCACTTCTCGTGTCAGCGCAATCCGCACGCTTCCCCTCCTGTCCACACGCTTCTCTCCTTACGGCACTCAGCAGGGCTCGGCCAATGTCGGGCGCAGCAGATGCTTGGTTGACGAATGACTGTGGCCGGGGACAAGCGTGAGGACCTGGGGCTGACAGACAGAGGCACGGGTGTGGGAGTGCGTCTGCGCTGCGGGGCGAGGACCTGCCTACAGCGCTGTTTCCCCTGACGTGGTTCCCACTCACGTGGTCCCCCGTGTGGCTCCCACTCACGTGACTACTGCTCCCATTACTCCTGCTCACGTGGCTCCCACCCACGTGGCTCCTCCCATGGCTCCCGCTCACGTGGTTCCTGCTCGCGTGGCAGGGCTGTGTTTTGAGATCTGAGTGTGTCTCGCTCTCTGCAGGCTTGTCTGCTTCTCCCCTGAAGATACTGTGCACCCCGGACGGAATCAGACTGCAGTGTTTCATGAAATACTTCACCGAGGAGATGCACGTGAACTGGTACCACAAGTAAGTCCCAGCGCTGTGGACAGGCCATCCGAGGACCAGGCAGTGGCCGCGCCCTCAGCCCCTGGGGCCCTTAGAAACAATGACAGGCCTCGGCTCAGCTCGGGTCGGGCCCAGCCTGGCATGGGGGGCGGGGGCAGGAGGCAGGTACAGAAATGCCGGACCCAGTCAGAGGCCGACTCCGTCACCGTCTCCTGTGGTCGGTGTGGACAAGGGTGGTTCTCTGGGTGACGTGGGGCCGGGCACTCAGCGCAGAGCTAGTCCAGGAAGAAGGAGACCTAGAGCCACATCCAGCGTGTCCGCCGTCTGCCTTCCCAGGACGCAGACGGAAGCGAAAGGACCACACAAGCCCAACGCTTACGGTGGGAGCACGGCAGCCGGCGAGCCTGTGTGCGGGCAGGCTCACCTCCCAGGCGCTGCCCTGGCTTCGCCAGGTGGGGGGTCCCCTGGGAAAACGCTCCCGATGTTCACGATGGTGACAGCACTCGCCCAGGGTTTCGCCCAGCCCGTGGGGTCCGGCCCTTTCCCGTCACCCCCAGCTCATCCCCAACAGTCACCAGAGCTCCAGGTCTCCGCGGGGAGCACCGGGCGGCCACCAGGGCTCAGGGCACCTGCTGGGGGAGGAGGTGGGAAGGGCTGGTCTAACCCGAGGACCTGGCAAAAGTGTCAGCCAGCTTTCAGCGGGGCCAGCGCCCAGCGTCTTAAGCTCCTCCCTGATCCAGCCCCCATGCCTCCTCATGCCTTTATTTATTTTAAATATGTTTTTATTGATGTCAGAGAGGAAGGGGGAGGGAGAAGGAGAGGGAGATAGAAACATCAGTGATGAGAGAGAATCATGGATCGGCTGCCTCCTGCACGGTTGAGATTAAGCCCACAACCCGGGCATGTGCCCTAACCTGGCATTGAACCGTGACCTCCTGGTTCATAGGTTGATGCTCAACCCGTGAGCCACACCGGCCGGGCCCCTCCTCGTGCCTTTAGATGTGCCGTGTCCCCAGTGACATTTCCCAGGCAAACTGGCTGCGAGTGTTCGTGTTTAGCGGCATCATCTGTGAGGGTGGATGAGGGGGAGCGCGGGCCCTGCTGGGAGGACCTGCACTCTGAGCTCTTCCTGTCTGGATTGGACGCCAGGCCTCTGTCTTCGAGGTGATGCCGGGCACATGGGCAGGGAGGTTTTAGCTGGTGTCCCGGTGCATCCTGTGCTGTTAGCAGCATGGGACTCAGACCCGGGGGGCGTCACAGGCCCCGGCCAAGAGGCTCCTTGGGGAGTGTGCTAGAGGCAGCGTCTTTTTGTTGTTGTTAATCGTCACCTGAGGATATTTCCCCATTGCTCTGCAGAGAGAGTGAAAGGGAAAAAGGAAAAGAGAGAGGGAGAGGGAGAGGGAGAGGGAGAGGAGGGAGAGGTGAGAGAGACACATTGACTGGTTGCCTCCTGCATGCGCCCCCACTGGGGGCAGTGAGCAAACCCACAACCCAGGTATGTGCCCTTGACTGGGAATTGAACCTGCAACCCTTCAGTGTGTGGGATGACACTAACCACTGAGCACACTGGCCAGGGCTGGGCTCCGCCCTTTGTAAGGCTCAACGATGTTCCACCGAGCTCTGCTTGTCTATCTGTCACCGCTGTTGTTCCCACCTGCCGGCCGCTCACATGGTGCCGTGGCACACGGGGCCCATGCAGCTCCTCGTGTCCCGGCCGTCAACCCCTCTGGGTTTAGACACAGAAATGCAATTGCTAGATCACATGTAATTAAAAAAAATTTTCTGAGGAAAAATGCCATTCTGCATAGAGTATTTTTTTAAAATGTATTTTTATTGATTATTGAGAAGAAGGGAGAGGGAGAGAGAGATAAAAACATCAATGATGAGAGAGAATCATCGACCGGCTGCCTCCTGCACACCCCACACTGGGGATGGAGCCCGTAGCTCGGGCCTGTGCCCTGACCGGGAATTGAACTGTGACCTCCTGGTTCATAGGTTGATACTCAACCACTGAGCCATGCTGGCTGGGCTGCATAGAGTATCTTAAAGTCCATTACATTATGGCCAGCACGGATATATTAAATAGCAATTCATCTTTACAAACTAAGCGTTGTGTTTAATTTTAGAAGGTGTTTGGGTCTGAGCCACAGATGTAGAGAATAAATTACTAACATCCTGAAAAGCCTGTCCTTTTAGAGGCACCAGCCAGTTAGACGAGGCTTCCCCGAGCCCGGCCCCTGCCCCTTGGGGACTGGCCTGTGACTGAGATCTGGGTTCAAACACGTCCCGTTGCCTTTTCCTGTCAAAGAGATGCTAAGATCGCGTCCAGCGAGCACATGAGGGCGGGCGGCAGCGAGGAGATGGCATGGCTGCAGATCTGCGAGCCCACGGAGAAGGACAAAGGGAAGTACACCTTCGAGATCTCGGATGGCACAGACAACCACCAGCGCTCGCTCGACCTGTCCGGCCAAGGTCAGAGGCCTGCCTGGCAGCTCAGGCCTGGCGGGTGGGGGTGCGTGTGGGATGCGGGGAGGGCAGCCTCTGGCGTGGTGACTCCCAGATGGAGACATTCTTTCTGAATAATCGGCCCGCTCGCTGGCTGCCGGCCTGTGTTCCTCGGGCAGATGCACCGCGGGCACGCGGGCCAGTGGGCCAGGGACGGGCCGTTAGTGACGCTGACCTGTTCCCTTGCAGCCTTCGACGACGCGCTGGCGGAGTTCCAGCAGCTCAAGTAAGACTCGCTCGCGGGTTCAGACCCGCCGTCCAGGGCTCCGGGCCTCGCGGTTATTTTGGCCGAGGACCTCGCTGGGCACCCAGGGGACCCGAGGCCGGTCCCTCCCAGGGAACTGGGGTGGGAATGGCAGTTGAAGAATGAGAGAGAATCATGGATCAGCTGCCTCCTGCATGCCCCCTACTGGGGATGGAGCCCACAACCAGGGCCTGTGTTCTGACTGGGAATTGAACCGTGACCTGGTTCATAGGCTGACGCTCAACCACTGAGCCGTGTCGGCTGGGCAGTAACTCCAGAGTTCTCAGTGCGGATGGATTTTAGGGCATCCCACACGGAGCAGCCATTGGCCAGCACCAGGTCATTCAGTGCATATCTGAGAATGGATGACTGAGTGACCAATAAATTAGAAACCAGCATTTCCCAAAAGATCTGACACTGTCCAGTGCAACCTGGGGAACGCAGGGAGAAAAGAAATGTCTGCGACTCTGAGTCTGAATGTAAACTCTGCAGCTGAAAGACTGGGTGGCCCCTCTCAAAAGGGCGGTGGGCATCGGGGAAAAGCATGTCATCTGAGAGAAAGCCGGCATCCCCGACCCCCTTCACCCCAGCCGACCCCTCCCCTGCAGGATGTGTGTGGGTGCGTTTTCTCACGACTCTCTTCTGCTCTCTCCCCTCCCCGCTTGACGTCCAGGGCGGCTGCTTTTGCAGAGAAGAGTAAGTACGGGCAATGGGAACAAGGGCCTTAGCTGTGGGTGGGCAGAGACCGTGCTTTAGAGTGTTATCCTGTGTATCAAATGATAAAGGGCAGAGCTGCTTGCTCCCATTGGGCACCTCCATGCCGCTCCCCACCTGCCCTGCTCACGCCTTCCCCGCTCACACCTGCTCCCTCACACCTGCCCCCCCACACCTGCCCTCCTCACACCTGCCCCCTCATACCTGCCTCCTCACACCTGCCCCCTAACATTTGTCCCCTCATACCTCCCCCCTCACACTTGCCCTCCTTACACCTGCCCCCTCACACCTGCCCCCCTCATACCTTCCCTCCTCACACCTGCCCCCTCACACTTGCCCTTCTTACACCTGCCCCCTCACACCTGCTCCCTCACACCTGACCCCCTCATACCTTCCCTCCTCACACCTGCCCTGCTCACACCTATTCTGCTCACACCTGCCCCTCACACCTGTCCTCCTCACACCTGCCCTCCTGAGGCCTCCAGCACCCCTGGCCACCAGTTCTCCTGCCATCACCCACCAGTTCTGTGTTGTTTTAGGAGATGGTTAGGCAGGGGGGCTGCAGGAAGAGAGACTGGAGAGGCTCAGGAAACAAGTTTATTACACGTGCAGGCTCTAGAGACAGGCTTAGTGTGTTGAGAAGCACCAGGGCTGGGGGTCAGGAGGCAGAAGACAGGAGCTGGGAGCTGACAGGCCACGCCCTTACTGGGCTTCTCTGGAAAGGCAGGTGGGCAGGGACCCTCGGGGCAGCTGGATTGAACAGTTGGGAGCCCTGGGCTGTGGGCGTGCTCCCTGGTTGCCTGGCACCTGGCCCTGGTCTCAGGCTCTGGATGGATGGTGGGTGGATCTCAGGTCCCTCAGGTCCCCTAGGTGCCCAGGTGCCCTAGATGTCCCAGGTGCCCCAGGTCTCTCAGGTGCCCCAGGTGTGCTATGGGTTGGGCTGGGCTGGGACAGGGAGGTTTTGAAGATGTCAAACATCATACTATACAGAAATTAAAAATAGTCCCTATATATACACACCCTTGCACCGCCCCGGTCTCCAGACCCACAGACCCCTCTCCCTGAGTTATAGCCAGGCCCGTTCCCCTAGTTCAGCCCCAGGCGCCCCTCCTGCGCCCTCAAAGCCCCGCTCCCACCCACATCCCTCCCAGCCTCCCAGCCTCCCCTCAGGCGCCGTCCTCCACCGAGTGGCTGTGCACACCTGTATACAGCCGGTGCTCAGCAGGGGGGAGGGAGGAGGACCCCCTGCTGTTGGTTTTCTCAGCCGAGTCCCCTCCATTGCAGATCGTGGCAAGGTGATCGGTGGTTTACCTGACGTGGTGACCATAATGGAAGGCAAGGTAAGGACGGATGGCAGGACCCCGGGACGCACGGGCTCAGCCGTGCATGCAGCCCTGCAAAGGGCCACGCGGAGCTGGGAGCGGGTGCCTGTCACTCAGCCTCTGGGGGGCTGGGCTCCCCACTCCCTCCTGCTTGGCCCGCTGCCTCTGGTAATCCTTGTGCTAATATCTGAGCCGACAAGCCACCTCTGGTCCTGTGCTGGGGTCCAGCCCCAGGGGGTCCAGGGGTCCCCAAAGGTGTGGACAGAGTTGGCGAAGAAGGAATTACACGGAGACAGCGTTCAGGTGATCATCATAGCCGGGTTCTCTTGTCAGGGTCTCCAGCCAGGTTCTGTAGCCAGTTCTCCAGCCAAGTTCTGTCTAGGATCTCCAGCTAGGTTCTCCAGCCAGGTTTGGTTGCCAGGTTCTAGTCAGGTTCTCTTGCTATGTTCTATCCAGGTTCTGTAGCCAGGTTCTGTCTCTAGGATCTTCAGCCAGGTTCTCTCTCTAGGTTCTGTCTCTAGGTTCTGTGTACAGGTTCTTTAGCCAGGTTCTGTCTAGTTTCTCCAGCCAAGTTCTGTAGCCAGGATCTTTTGCAATGTTCTCTCGATAAGTTCTGTCTCTAGGTTCTTCATCTAAGTTCTGTGTCTAGGTTCTGTCTCCAGTTTCTGTCTAGGTTCTGTGTCCTGTTGTCTTGTTACATCTGTATTTATACCAGTTGATTCTAATCCTATCAATCTCTATTCCAAAGGTTAGGGCGTTTCTTATCTCCATTCCAGGGAGTAAAGATTATGTAGCTTAAGCATGATTGTTCGTAGTTAAAGTGCTTAATTACCCTCCTGGCACTTAGTTAAGGGGTTTTATTCCCTCCCTAACTTCAGGGAAAAATCCCTACCTGGGGAAACTACCTTTCTTGGAGAGGTGACCTTGGTTAAAACACATAGTGCTAAGGGGAGCAAACATATTAAGAACAGTATGCTATATACGCCAGGTCCCTTGAAACAGCAAGGATGGACCAGCTCTTGGCAGTCCTGTGCCTGGTGTCCACCGGGGTCTGAACCCTGGTCCTGGGCTGGGGCGGGGGCTGGGGGAGAGGGACCAAGGTTGGGCAGGCCACACCCACGCCCATGCCCACAGGAGGCACCTGCCTTGTGTAGAGGTGGGAGCTGCCCTCTGCGAGTGTGACACCCTCTCCAGGCTCCAAGGCCCTTGGAACGTGGACTGGGCGCTGTTTACCGAGTTTTAATGGGTCACCTGTTGGCGGAATTGCTGACGTCCAGCCCGCACCCCTCTGGTGCCTCAGCTCTAGCTCAGGGTCTCGGGACACAGAGGGAGAGGATTTATTCGCCCAACACAAAGGTGGTGGCCCTTCTCGCAGAGCCCAGTGTGAGGCTGAGCAGCCTGGGCTCAGGGCAGAGCCGTCGCTGGGAAACACACAGCGGTTTGGCGTTACCAGGCTCCGGCGGGTTTAGCTGAGTGTCTACATGGTTGCTGCGTCCTCCTTGCTATAAGTCAATGCATTCTCTGGATTTGCCAGAGGGTCCATGGGTCTGAATATAAGGAAGTTGAGAAACAAGCTGAAACATCTGTAAAATGTGGATCTATTTGATTACTTTCAAATTCTTTAGCCGGCTTAAGCCAGCGGTGGGGAACGTCCGGCCCGCGGGCCATAGAAGGCTCTCGAAATCATTTGGTCTGGCCCTGCCAAGGCCTCAGGGGCGAGTTAATGAAATGTTTGACCAAACACAGAAGGCTCATGTGTCAGTGGATAATTTTGTTTGGCCGCGAATCATGTTATAAATGTCCAGATGGCCCTCGGTAGGACAAAGGTTCCCCGTCGCAGGCTTAGGCCCTGGGTTACAGCTGAGGATGACTAGAAGGAATTACCACGGGTTTTTCTCAGGACCTACTGCGTGAAACTGCCCTCGTCTGCCTCCTGCTGTTTGGGGACCCCTGGGGTGTGGCATGGCGCTCACGTGTAAAGAGCATGTTGACTCCACGAATGGGGTAAAGGACCATGATGAGGGTCGGTGCCATTCAGAGGGAATCTGACCTTCATCTTCCTACCTCTGCCCTCCCTGCCCGCCCCCCTCCCGCAGACCTTGAACCTGACCTGCACGGTGTTCGGAAACCCCGACCCCGAGGTGGTGTGGTTCAAGAACGACAAGGACATCGAGCTCAACGAGCACTTCTCGGTGAAGGTGGAGCAGGCCAAGTACGTCAGCATGAGCATCAAGGGCGTGACCTCTGAGGACTCGGGCAAGTACAGCATCAACGTCAAGAACAAGTACGGGGGCGAGAAGATCGACGTCACGGTCAGCGTGTACCAGCACGGGGAGATGATCCCTGAGGTGCAGCCGCCCCAGCAGGCCACACCCAAGCTCATCCCCGCTTCCGCCTCCGGCCCGTCCCAGTGAGGCCGCGCCCGCCGTCGGGGTGCTGTGTGCTGTGCCCAGTGCTGTGTGCCGTGCCCAGTGCGTGTCGCCAGCTGAGTGTCCCCACGCGTGGTCTGAGAGCGAGCCCACGCTCCGCGTGTTTAGCTTTGGCATTTGTTCAGTATGGTCTAGGGCCCACAAGGCCGGAAGCCAAGGGCTCTGTGCGGCGTCCTGTCCACGCCCAGGGGTGGACTCCTAGTGCCGACAAGACCCAGCAGCCCTGGCTCCTGGCTGGAGCCCTTTATGTTGTGCTACCGGCCACTGTGTTTTCTCTTGCTTCCAACTAATAAAACTTTATGAGGTGACTTGTTGTGGTTCTGCGGCACCTGGTCGTACCTAACTACCTCTGCTTCCTCGCCCTTCTTTATGATGATCGGGCAGGGTTGCAGCGGGGAGGGAGTCTGCAATCTGAGAGCCTGGGGGGAGGTCCCTCCAGAGCCTGACCCCTCAGGGTGGGGGACAAGGTGATGGGGCCTGGCCGGAGGGACACCCGCAGAAGGACAGTCCCTAAGAAGGGAGCACCTGTGCAGACGGAGAAACACTCGGCAGTTATCACATTGCGGATTCATAGGTCTCTGCAAGGAACACGAAATGCACATGGCCACATTCTTTCTTTTCTTTACAAAAATCATTTTTATTTTTCCATTACAGTTGATAGACAATATTATATTAGTTTCAGGTGTGCACCCCAGCGATTAGACATGACGTAGCTTACTAAGCGATCATCCTGGTAAGTCTTGTACCCTCTGAACCATACATAACTATTAGAATGCTGGTGGCCCAGTACACGAATTCGTGCACAGGTGGGGTCCGGCCCTCCCACCCCCATCGGGGCCAATCGGGCCGGGCTGGCTGGGGGCAGGGGCTGCAGGCAGTTGGCCAGCTGGCCCCGCCCTCTGGTCAATCTCTCGGTCAAGGGGAAAATTTGCATATTACGTTTTTATTATATAGGATTATTACGATATGCCCTGTCCTATACTTCATATTCCCATGACTGTTCTGTAACAACCAATTTGTACTTCTCGATCCCTTCACCTTTTCATCCATCCCCCCAACTTCCCTACCATCTGCTAACCATCAAAATGTTCTGCTTGCTCCATTATTTTGTTTTTTAGATTCAATTGTTAACATGTACTTATTGCCATTTTATTGTTCATATTTTTTTAAAATATATTTTATTGGTTTTTTTACAGAGAGGAAGGGAGAGAGAGAGTTAGAAACATTGATGAGAGGGAACATCAATCAGCTGCCTCCTGCACACTCCCTACTGGGGATGTGCCCGCAACCAAGGTACATGCCCTTGACCGGAATCGAACCCAGGACCCTTCAGTCCGCAGGCCAATGCTCCATCCACTGAGCCAAACCGGTCAGGGCTATTGTTCATATTTTTAATGTTTTTTTCCCCCCTTCTTCTTCTTAAAGGATACCCTTCAGTATTTCATGTAATACTGGTTTGGTGGTGATGAACTCCTTTAGCTTTTTCTTCTCTGAGAAGCTCTTTATTTTCCTTCAGTTTTAAATGGTAGCCTTGCCAGTTTCAACATGTTGCTCCCTCTCTTTCCTTCTGGCACCCCCAGAATGTGAATATTGGTATGTTTGAAGTCCCCGAGGCTTCTTTGACTAATTTTACCTTTTTAGATTCTTTTATCTTTTTGCTATTCTGATTGGGTGCTTTTTGCTTCCTTTTATTCCAAAATCACTTGGCTTCATCTATTCTACTGTTGGTTCCTGGTAAATTCTTCTTATTCTTGACTAGTACATGCTTCCTTTAGGACTGGTCCTTTTTTATGCCATTGATGTTCTAAGTTCACTGAGCATCCTTATAACCAGTGTTTTGAACTCTGCCTCTGGTAGATTGCTTGTCTCCATTTTATTTAGCTTTTTTTCTGGAGTTTTCTCTTCTTCTTTCATTTAGGACATGTTTCTTTGTCTCCTCATTTTGGCACCTACCTGTGTTGTTCCTAGGTGGAGCTGCTATGTCTCCCGGGCTTGGTAGAGTGGCCTTGTGTAGTATATGCCCTGTCGGGCCCAGTGGCATAGCCTCCCTGATCACCCCAGCTGGGCACTCCAGATGTGCTCCCCATGTGGGCTGTGTCATCCTCCTGTTGTAGCTGAGACTCGATTACTGTTGGCTCAGCATTGGGAGGGATTTGCCCCAAGGCCAATCAGATGCAAGGACTGGCTGTGACCACTGACCTTTGACCACTGTGGAGGCCCACCCCACGGAGCAGGACTTAGCAGGGCTCTGGTGTTTGCTGAGTCTGCCCCTCAGGTGTGTCTCTGGTGGAGGTGGTTGGGTGGTGCCTTTATGTGATCTGAAGCTGTCCAGTGGGTTTGATGGCTCTGGGGCTTCCCAGGAGGCACGCACCAAGTTCAGTCACCACCTGTTCTACCCCGGGACACCCGGCATGAGCTACAGAGCGATCTGCAGATGGCTGCTACTTGTGCTGGACTTGGAGGTACCAGGGTGAGACCAAGGTGCAAACTAAGGCTGCTGCTGCTAATGCCAGGCCTGGGGCCACTTAGCCAGAGGCACGGGGCACACTGAGGCCACTCCCACTCTGTGGGAGTGGGGCAGGCTCAGCAGAGGAACACAGCGCTGTCGCACTTCTGTCTGAGAGAAAACTGCCCCCAGCCCTCACCCTGATGCCAGAAAATTTAGCTCCTCCCCGTGTGTCCCTGATGCCTTTTGAGCTGCTGTCCCAGTGCTGGAGCTCAGAGGGAGTGAGGCCGAGTAAGTCCATGTGCCGGGCCTTTAAGAGGAACACCTGGGATTCCAGCAGTCTAGGCTGGGAGGACTGGCATGGGGCTGGGACCCTCGTCCTTGGGGGGGGGACCTTCCCTCCGCAGCCTAGAGACCCCTCCTGAGTTTTACACGCGGGTGTGGGACCAGCCTGTTCCTCCTCTCCACCCTCCTGCCAGTTCCAGGTGGCTTCTTCTTCTTTTTTTTTGTAATCCTCACCTGAGGGTATTCCCCCACTGACTTCTAGAGAGAGTGGGAGGAGACATCCACGTGAGACACATCGCTTGATTGCCTCGCACACACGCCCCAAGCGGGCTGAGGAACAGCAACCCAGGTACGTGCCGTGTCTGGGAGCCAAACCCACGACCCTTCTAACCGCTGAGCGAACCAGCCAGGGCTGGCTCCTTGCTCACACCCTTCACGATAGGCCTCCGCTCAGCCAGGCTTCGGGGGCTCCGCTGAGTCTGGGTGGTGGTGGGTCTGGGCTGAGCGGGGTTCTGATGTGGTTGTGGGCAGGCAGGTCCTGTGTGCACCTACAGCCGTCTGTCCGGAAGCGAAGGCTGTGTGCTTTCTAAGGATTGTTTAATCAGACTCGGAGGGACTTGAAAGAGAAAGAAAACAGGCGTTAGGGTGATCACTGCGGTGGCCACGGAGTGAGAGTTAAACCTCAGCTGATTCCGGTCTCCGTGGGATTTCAGAAAACAGATATCCTTTCTCTCAGCATATCCTTTCTTTCAACGCTTTCTTTCTTTTCTTTTGTAAAGAGGCTGAAATTCCTCTGGCATAAAAACCCCATTTCAGTATTTTAGTTTTACATTAAACACGTGGCCATAAAGCCGAGAGCGTGGGGGGTTTAGAACACTGCTTTTCCGCCTTTTCCCTCTCATGCGCACGCCAACTACAGACTAAACTGTCACACCAAAAAGCTTGTTTTTTGTTGATCTGACAAAAAAAAAATAGGTGTAATTTTGATTCACTCACACCAGACGGCTGTTGTGCTGGCTGCTGTCATTTATTTATTTTTTATTTTCTAATCTGCGGGAAAGAGGTCAGTCCCCTGACTCAATAGTCAGGCATCGCATGCTCTGAACATGCTTGCGTTACCGGCTGGAAGTCGCTGGTTTAGGGTATTTCCTAGGTTGTCGAGGCCAATTCACACTCAATTCACAACTGTGCTCTGTTGTCGGAGGGTAATAAGGAAATCCTGAAACTAAGCCTGTCCCTGAACACCCAGCCAGCTGGGCCGGTTTCGGGGCGCGGGAGCAGGCCAGTGAGCCCCTCAGGGAAGACTTGCACGTCTCAGAGGCGCCAGCTCGGGCGGAGAGGAGGGGAGGGGCTCCCGCTCGGCCCGGGAGCGGAGGCTCCGGTGTGTAATCTGACTACGGAGCTGAACCAAAGCCCTGTGTTTCTGTGGAGGCGGTCGTTTGTGTGGCAGCGTGGCTCACGGGAAGGAATGAAACGGCTTTGCATTTCTGCAAGTCCTGTGATTTTTTTAAAAGCAGGTTTTAGTTTTTTGAGCAGTTGAAGGACAAAGTTGAGAGGCAGGTAGAGATTTCCCAGATACCTCCTGTCCCCCACCCGGCACGGCCTCCCCACCACCACACCCCCACCCCCCGGTGACAGGTCAGGGTCACCCCAAGTCCACAGCTCCCCTAGGCCGGGCTGTGCTGCACAGTCGGCGGGTGCTGTGACCCCTGCCACCTGTAGGTGGCGCTGAGAGAACAGGGATGAGCTTCGTGGGGCCGCCATCCATCCTCCCTTCGATCCATCCTCCCTATGCAAACACCTCCCTTCCTGGTGATAAAGGCGACAAGGACAGACCGGCCAGCGGCTGTTTCCGGGGGACAGGAGTGAACTTGCAAGGCAGTCATGTGGCCCCTTGATCTCTGTGTGCCGCACACACGCAGGAACAACACACCTTGCGAGCCAGTGCGAGGCTCTTACATGCGGGGAAGCCGTACACACGCGTGGTCTTTGTTGGCATGGCGTGGGGCGTGGATTTAAATGCTCCACGTTTCAGAGGGCACGTGGGGTGCAGGGCCAGCCGTCCCTCAGGCAGTGAGTCCCGGCTGCGGCCATTCCCGGCGGGGCCGTGGGCTGAGGGGCTTGGGTTCAGGGGAGCCTGGTGTGTGGCCATTTTTACTTCATTTTATTTATTTTTAAATTCTTTATTGTTGAAAGTATTCCATATGTCCTCCTTTTCCCCATCGACCTCCTCGGCCTGCCTCCGCGCCCCCCCAGGTCTGCACCCTCTATTGTCTGTGTCTACGGGCCATGCATCTATGCACACAAGGTCTTCGGTTAATGGCCTCCCACCTACCCTCCCTCCCCAATGACCTCTTTTCAAATAATGAACGCACTCTGTTGACAATATCATTTAATACTCATCAAATGGGTAACAAAATTTTTTTAAAAAATTTAAGAATCTGTTTATTAAAGCTGGGACAGTAAGAGTTTAGGAGAAAGAAAATAAAAAGTCCACGCATGAGCTCCAGCTGGTGTGGCTCAGTGGATAGAGTGACGGCCTGTGGACTGAAGGGTCTCGGGTTTGATTCTGGT